CCCCCCCCTTCTATGTACTCTACCCTACACGACTTAGGTATAGCATGCAGCCTCTACCTCTACTAGGGAAATCATCTCTCCTCCTCCTGCCCACCCACCCACCCTCTCCATCTGACCGAAGACTTCGGTTTTCCTCCCCTCCTCCTCCCCGCCTCCGAGGCCGCTCACTACATATACCCCAACCCACCTCTCTCTCTCTCTCTCTCTCTCTCTCTCTCTCTCTCTCTCTCTCTCTCTCTCTCTCCCCTTTAGCAACCTGCCTTAGGTCGTGTTGAAGGGCTCGTAAGGGTAAGACAGCCAAGGGTGTTTCAGAGCGTCCGCCGCCGTCGGTCTATTTTCAGGTTTAATACAAAGCAAACAGCTCACAAACTCCACAAATCCGCTATCTGCCATTGGTAATCGGTGCCTCAGATGCGTCTTCTTGGGTATCAGGTACTCCAACTGCCCCGTCTCTGGGTTGCGTTCATAGATGATTCGATTTTTGGTGAAGTACTTGTGACTATCTCTACCCTTGCCAATCATCTCCACGTCTATTGGACCGATGATCCCCACCACCCGCGCGAGCAAAGTGGCCAATGAGTCGTTCTGAAACAACACATTCCCGCTGCAAAGCTCCGCCAGTATGCAGCCTAACGACCAGATATCAATCTTCTGACCATAGGGAAGACCCAAGATGACTTCAGGCGCTCGATACGATCTGGACTGGACATAAGAACACAGATGATCCGTCTGAAAGCAGCTGCTTCCAAGATCAATCACCTTCACTTCGCATCGGCTATAGCTCTTGACAAGAATGTTCTCAGGCTTTAAATCACAATGAATTAACCCTAAACCATGAATGAATCGGAGTGCTTCTAAACACTGACGAGTAATCGACTGCAATCGGGGCATGGTGAAGTAGACTTCACCACCAGACTCGCGGTTATACTTGTGGAACTCGTAAAGATTGGCGCGCAGCAGCTCGCAGACTATGAAGAGGTGTTCCCGATGATAAAAGTAGTCGTACAACCGAAGGATGTGGTGCTGATCCGCCGGGTCGTGCTTGTTGATGTACTTGAGGAGCTTGATTTCATCCAGACTCTGGTCGAAGAAATCCTTGTTGTTCTTGATGATCTTCATACAGACGTCCATGCCGGTGTGCAAATCGTGAGCCTGAATCGCTTTGCTGAAAGCCGCTGAGCCCAAATACTCGGTCACGTGATATCGGCCGGCGATGACGGCGTTGATGGTGACAGGGAAATCTTTCTCTTCTTCGAATCCCGTGCGATTTTTGCGGTGAATAATCTTAAGATCAAAGATCTCGAATTCCTCTTCGTCATTCTTAAGGCGCTGCAATTGCTCGTGCATGGCGGCAGCCTCTTCTTCCTCCTCCTCTTCGACATCGTCGATGCCCAGCATGTCGTCCGCACAATTGTCCCTCGAATTGGTCACACCACTAGTCTTCACAATGACCTCCGGCGCGTCCACCTCCTCCTCGTCCTCCTCCTCCTCCTCTTCTGCTTCTTCTCCTTCCTCCTCCTCCTCGGCTTCGCCCTCGTAATAAGACTCCATCGGCATGTCGCCTCGGGGACTGACCAGAGGCGATGACGTGGCACTCGTTCGTTTCCAAGAGGCAAGCGTGTCATCAGCGCCGCTCATGCCGCCGCTCTCGCGCTCATCGCCGTCCATGGCTTTCTCAGAAGCATTGTCGCCGATCGACCACACCGACTTCCCACCTGAATCTACTAAAGACCCCGCTTCTGGAGGAGAGGGCTCGGGAAACGAGAACCCGCCAAAACCAACAACAGCTGCGTTTGCTCCTCCTCCTCCAATACCTCCTTTGGGTCCCGATCCCGACTGTCCTCCCAGGTCTGAGGCAGCAGTCTTCTCGCCCCCGGTCACTAAGCGAATGGCTTTGTTCTCTCCTTCGTCGCTCTCATTACCGGACCTATGTCCAGAGCTATAACACTTTACGATCATATCCTCCTCCTCCTCCCGCTCCTCGTCTTCTTCCTCATCATCATCATCATCATCATCGTCATCATCATCATCACCCATCAAACGGTTCTCGGAGACCATTTCCATCTCACTGCTGCTCGGACTACTCCCCAGCGCTTCCCGGGTCCGACGATAGCCCCCGCCACTCGTTCCTCTTCCGCCTCCTCCCCTCCCGCCGTCCAGAGAGGCGCGTGGCATCCTGTACGACGACGTCGGGATCCCGACGTCAATTTCGCGGTTCCTTCTCTCCGCATCACTTCGGCCCCGCCTTGCCATATCCCGTCTCCTATCAACAGCAACACCATCCCCGGCCCCACCACCCCCCTCTTTCGCTCTCATTCCAGCAGCAGGATACTCCTTGTCACCACCAACTGGAAGCTTCCAATCGAAAGAATCAACAACTCCAACCGCAGCAGCAGCAGCAGCAGCAAGAGGAAGAGCAGGAGGAGGAGAAGGAGGAGGAGGAAGAGAAACTCCTACACCACCTCCTCTGACCTCCTCCTCCACATCGAGAACAGCATTCACATCTCCCCATGCCTCCTCTTCTCCTAACGTTATCGATCGGAAATGTCCCGACCGAGGCGACTTTTCCGGTTCTTCCTCATGCCTCTCAACATCCGCGCCTGCCCGTTCATCATCATCTTCTTCCTCTTCCTCCTCCTCCTCCTCCTCCTCCTCCTCTCCGTCCTCTTCTTCCTCTTCTCGCCGGGAGCGCCCTCCCACCCCTCCCACTTCCTCTATGTCCGCCGTAACATCGTCTTCATCATTCTGCAGCTTGTAAAAATCTTCCCCTGAAAAGTAGGCCTCGTCCTCTTCAGCAAAAGAGGGATCTTCTCCCTCCTCCTCTTTTGCCCGCTGCTCTTTCTTCCTCCCCCTCTCCTCGCATTCTCTAGCTGCACCACCACCACCTCCTCCTCCTCCCGCTGCTGCTCCTCCTCCTCCTCCTCCTCCTGCTGCTGCACCTCTACCCCCTCCCCCCTCCTCATCACTCGGCAAATCCACTTCATGTGCTAAAAAATGGGCTTCGTCTTCCACCGGCTGGCGTACGTATCCCGGGTCGTCTTCGTCCTCGTATAGGTCGCTGTCCCAATCGTCCTGAACGTTCTCAGAAGATTCTATCTGGAGGTCAGCGCCCATGTTGTTCTGTCCTCCATCCGATCCCAGGATGGAAAACATCAGCATGCTATCCCTATCCCTTGCATCCTCCACGATACCTTCGCTGATAGATGGGCGCGGGTGCCGTCGCACCTGGCCAACAGGTACGTCCAAATCCGCACCGAGAGAGAAGACGGGACCGGCGGAGGAGGCATCGGAGCGATGGGAGGCTGGGGGGACGGTTTGCGAAGCGGCGGGGAGCAGATTGCGCTGATCCAGCGCAACAGACGACGAAGCGAAGGACTTGCCAGAAGTCGACAGCTCCGCTACGCGAAGCTTGACAGGTGGCAGTCGGGGAAGATCAGACTCTACAACGACGTCAGAGATGACGACACGTGCCGCGCCGTCCTTGGTCGCCGCCGCCGCCGTCGCCGACGCGCCGCTGTTGTCGCTAATTGAAACGCCCGCGGAAGGGTAAGGGGGGGACGGTGCGGCGGAAGGAGAGAGGGCGGGAGGCCCGGAGAACGTCGAAGAGGAGGAGGCGCCCACATGTCCGCTACCGGCTAGGCCCGGGGGAGTGGGTGGTGGAGCTACATCCAAATTAGGAAAGTCAGCCGACGACGACCCAAGACCGACACTGCTCTTTCCAGAAACAGGCATGGACAGCGAGGACGACGGCGATTTCCCCAAGGACTGAAGGAGGACGGCGATGGTTGCTTCATCTTCGTCAGGTGTAGACGGAGATGGTGGGGCGTCTCTCTGGCCATAACTGACCTTATACTCTTCTCGCAATGTCTCTTCCGCCTTGAACAGCTTGTACTTGTGAAGAAAATGAAGTATAAGACTCACCGTATCCTGCATTGTGACCAGAAGAAATCGATCGCCCGCGGATCTCCTTCCTCTGACGCCACAGCTCAAGCGCCACTCGCCGCCACCTTGCCTCTCTTCTTACTTAATCTAAAAAATCCCAACTAGCTGAAGGATAAGAAATCGAACGGTAAAGATTAGACAAGGAGAAGCAGCAGCCAAATCGAGAAAAGTTAAACGGCGGGCGAAATTAAGGGGGTAAAAGAGAGAGAGAGAGAGAGAGAGAGAGAGAAGAGAAAAGACAACAGAGGAAACGAGCCAGAGAACGAACCACGGAGAGAGAGAGAGAGAGAGAGAGAGAGAGAGGAGGAGGAGGAGGAGGAGGAGGAGGAGGAGGAGGAGAGAGTGTTAAGAAAGACGGACGAGCGAAGTATCTGGAATGAGTTGTTGACACCACTTCCCTCGGCCCCTTCCATCAGCTGTTAGTTGCCCGCCGCCACATGTTCCGCTCACGTTCAGCCGAGTAATCAGCAAATCCTGACAGCGAACGAGCCGCCCCGCTGGCTGATAGGACACGTGGCAAGTCACCCAGCCGACGTCCGAGCTGACGTCATCGGACTCGGTTATTTGCCGCCAATTTTCCACGTAGAGAGACATCTCCCCGTGTGGTCCCACCCGCCGCCGGGCCGTCGGGATCGAGAGTACCTATGCATTTGCGTCTCCGCTGTGGTGGCAATGGCGTACCAACCAGACGACGACGCTAAACCGCCACCGCCAAAATTGACCACCTCCGGTGCACCTGGGGCATGGAGGGAGAGACAATCCTCTCTACGAAAGCCAATCTCTACCACAAATAGAGGAGGAAGACAACTTCTGTCCGTGAACTGACACGTGTACTGTTTTTTCCCCTCCTGTCTAAGGACCAGAAGAGACCATAATCGAATATACCTGGGGCAATAATAGACGGGTCTCTACATGAAAGGGATAGAGGAGTAGATTCTCTCTCTCTCTCTCTCTCTCTCTCTCTCTCTCTCTCTCTCTGTGTGTGTCTCTCTTTCTCTCTTTTCTCTCCCCAAGGCAAATTTCCTCTCATCTATGTGCTGCATCTTCCAGCGAGGAAGACGCGGCTATGGCAGCGATCAGCCACGTCCATCTCGCACAGATAACCACCTCCGCCTCCTCGTGCTGACCATTGCCAGGCCCGCCCTCAGACTGACCCCGCCTTCGCGGGCCCCGCCCACCAATTCCCCTACAATCGTCCGTACACCCTCCGCCCGCCATCCTCCGCGTGGAATTGCGCCGTGTTAGAAAGGACAGGAGGAGGAGGAAGAGAGGAACAGAACGACGACTGCAGAGAGCGCGCTGAGGACTTCCAACCTGCAAACGCGATCGGTACATCCTCCCTGGTCTCAATCCACTGAGTTAGGGTTCGATTCCCACCGTAGTAGCCCTAACAAAATCGCACCATTTTTTTTTATTTTTTTTTTTTGAGAGTGAAGTTGCACCATTTTCCTCTCTTAGCAAATCGGCCCTCCAAAAATCACGAAAGAACGTAAGGGGAGTGTGGCGGCCCTCTGAGCGGACTCGTGCGGTCGGGCACTACCGTCCTCGACCGAATAGAACGCACGGTCATTAAGTTTGCGAAAATGACAGTACGTTCTATTCGGGTCAAGACGGGTAAGGAAAGGGGCCCCCTGGTGCTTTGTCAGTGCTAAGCTAGAACGACCCCCTTGACAGTTTTTCTGACCAGATTCGAGCTTCCTTAGCACCGACTTTGCACCAGCAGGGACCGGCCTTAAGTCCTAGTACCGCCTTCCCCCGAACACAACGCACCCTCATTATGAATGTACAGAGGGTAGGTTTCCGGTCCGATTCACTCAAAATGATGGTGCGTTGTATTCGGAGGAAAAAGGCAGTAGTACCGACAAAGCATCCGTGGGACCTGTGATACCTGCCCCGAAGGACCAGTCTCCACCAGTGGAGCGAGGGCCCATCGGCGTTCCGTTTGTACTGTGTACGTGAAAGCTGAGGGGCAGCCAGACGTGCTATGTTTGGGTTGCAAAAGGACGACCCTAGACGTGATAACGGTCATGTTCATGTACTCTTCGCATGAACACGGTACTACCAGATTCCCCCGAGCAGGGGCTAGGTCCCACTAGCAGCGTTGAGTCTCCTGAACGCCTGAATCTGGACGTGCCATGTGGATATGTGCAGAAATCGCGTTTTCTAGAACGAACGCGTCCAGATTCAGGCGTTGAGGAAACTCAACGCTGCTAGTGGCACCTGACCCCAGCACTGGATCGGACAGATAGCCAGTATCATAAATAATAATAATAATAATAATAAATATATATATATATAAAAGATAGCCAGTATACATTCGGTATCAGGGTGCGTTGTGTTTGGGGGAAGACGGTAGCAGCCGGCCATGATTCTGGTGATGATACTCGGCCTGTTCTTTTTTTTTTCTCTTCATTCCAAAGTATCAGTTGGGCCCGGGCTTAAACTGGCTGGCCAGAAGGAACGGCGAACAAAGTATCAGTTGGGCCCGGGCTTAAACTGGCTGGCCAGAAGGAACGACGTGAGGGCCCCACTACCTCGAATAGAATGCACGGTCATATCATGATGGCTATGTTTGGAACAACTTTCAGTCCAGGTACAATCCACAAAAGGCGGTTTTATTTGGGTAAAGAGGTCCTAGCAGGATAGGTCCCAATGTGAGCTGATTGACTGTCAGCCATCCAGATCTGTCATGTGGAGGGCTGACAATGCAGTTGGCTCGCTTCCCAACCTACCGTCTTCACCCGAATAGAACGCCTGGTCATTATGGCTGCATCTGGACAGAAAGTTGCCCCAAGTATGGCTATAATGACTGGGCGTTCTATTCAGGTGATGACGGTAGTCGGACCGTGCCCCAAATAATCAGGGTAGGGACAGTCCCACCAGCACAAACCTCATAGTTGGTAGTTGGCAAACGGGCGAAATCAGTTCCTTTCTATTCTTCTTTTCTTTTCCATTTTTTCATAGTACTCATGGTCTCCTTCAACACATCCGGAAAATCCTAAGAAGCTGTAGGGTCTTGTGCAACACATAGAGTGGTTTTTCTTGTTGTGGAACACGGAGTAGTTTTTCTTGCCGTTCCACCTCATGGTAGTCACGCATCCTAGAAACCAAGTGACTACGGATGTATTACATCTCTAAAACACATATGAGAGACTCTAGGATGACATGGCTATTCCTTCCAAGTCTTCAAGTCTCCTCATAAACCGCATTCTTGGGTGTGGCATCGACATCCTGCAAATTTAATGTGTAATCGATCCCAATTGGTTGAAACTCTAAACATAATTTTAAACCGCATTCTTGGGAGTGGCATCGACATCCTGCAAATTTAATGTGTAATCGATCCCAATTGGTTGAAACTTGAAATTTTTTTTTTTCCCCCCCCTCATATGCAAGTAAATCTCGACCTACCTTACAAATCATCATAGAAAGGCATTTTATAGGAACTGCAACAAACGAGCAACCTTTTGAGGATGAGTTGAGCATGAAAGTCTCTTTCTAAGACTATCCTAGATTTCATAAGATTTCTATATGTGTTGAATGAGACCCTTATTTGTTACGTCTATTTTCCTTTTTGGGTTGAACTCCTATTGTCTTTTCAAAAAAGATTAAAAATGTATTTGCCAAGACAATTGCAGTGACTGACAGTAAAGAAAGAAGGTTGAGTGAATCAAAGTCAAAACCAAATACAGAGGGTCACCTTCTTCTATGAGTATAATAGTTAGGTGAATTTGAAAAATAAAAGCCTTTTTGGACCACCAATACGTTTTCCAACCATTTTGTCAAAACGGGTTATGCATGCCAGCGTGTCGGGCAGGATGTATCGAGGTGTCATTTCGCCCCAAATCCACCCAGACAAAATAGGTACCATGCGAAGCTCGATTTACGTGGATTTCAGCCCGATACACCCCGTTCGATGCGCTGTCATGCAAAACGCGTTTCTTCAAAATATCCGAGAAACGTTCTAGTGGTTAAAGACTTTGATCGAATATTTTCCAATTAGAGTGCCTAAACTACTTACTAAAATAAAATGCCTTGGATTTCAATTTGAGATTTGACTCTTTAAAAAAAAATATATTTCAAATCAGTACTAGTAAAATAATATGTATCTAAATATTGTTTTCTCTTCCATGAAACACGGTAAGGTTTTTGCAACTTATACCTATAGATGTTGTAAACAAAAAAACGCTTATAAGCTTAGGTTACATTGGGGTGCGTTGTTTTACGTTTGTGCATATCACTTAAAATGATGTCCTACTCGGGTCAGGACTCATTTCCCCCCCCCCGAAAAACGTGAAATTGTTGTTCAGACTAATTAGTCCCAAAATCCAGTGTCTTCCTCTTTTTTACTACAGTTCGGTGGGGTGGGGGGTAATTGGAGACTAGGGAGAGAGGTTATGGGTGGTGGGATACAACAAGAAAGATGAGACATAACACGCTCCAACACAAGTGGAATAGAAAAATTATTCATAAAAGTTGAGATATAACAATTGTCCTTGAAACAAAAATCAGGACACCAGTAACTGGAAATTACAAAATGCAATACTAAAAATAACAGCAATTACAATATCAAACGATATTTTTCAATAAACACTCTCGACATGGCAACATTCTTTGTAGCTTATATGAGAATTGTATAAAATAAATAAATTAACAAATAATAAAAGAAAGAGGAAAAATATAAATAAAATTAAATAGAATAAAAAATAAAAAAAAACACAAATAAAGGACAAAACATCACCATTGACAAATGTTTGTACCCCAAATAATAAGGTCAAACTTGAAATGAATGCTCGATTATTATTTTAAACCCCTTTGTCATTTGCAATATTGGTTACATAATATGTTTATGTCATACAATGTTGTTCCACCATTAAAATGATGAGTCATTTATGATTATATATATATTCTTTAAGAAAGTAATCAGTTACAATAATATCAAGCTTCGTTTTTTTGCTTTTCACTTTGTGACAATCCTATGAAACTTATTAAATTAGTCTGTAATCTAGGCTACCAAAGTGGCCCAGGGTAACTTGCCAGGCCGTGCCAAAAACAATAAAAAAATTCAAATTAAAATAAAAAATAACAATTTTATTTTTTATTCTAAATCTGGTGCAGAATTTCAATGTGACCCTGAGGAAAACGTTGTTTATATTATTTCTCTGTATAACATAGTTTTTTTTCGTATTTTTTGATTTTTTTTATTTTTATTTTTTGGCTGGGACCTTACCTGGTCCTTGCACGGGCTGGCCACCCGGGACCCGGGCGGCCCGGCTGGTAGCCTAGTTTGTAATGTATAAATTTACAAATATTTGAACGTTTACTCATATTACCATAAAATATCTTTGTATGTTCGGAGATTCAGGTAATATGTTATGATTTACGAAGGATTCTCACCTAGGCTACCAGAGTGGTTCGACTCCACTTGCCCGGTCAGACCAAAAATAAATCAATAAATAAATAAAATAAATATATATATTTTTTAATTTTAATTTTAATTTTGGTAAATAATTTTGATGTGACCCTGAGGCAAAAAGTTGTTCAAATTATTTTTCTGGATAACATAGTTTTTTTGGATTTTTTTTTTTTTTTTTTTTTTTGCTTGGACCTTCCTTAGTTCTTGCACGTCCGGGCTGCCCAGGAAAATAGGTTACCCGAGCGGCCCAGTTGTTAGCCTTGATTCTCATATTACCATCAAGCACATTGACCTCTAACATAATGGTTGTGAGAGCCCTTCCACAACTTCAAGTTAGAGTTTTGTTTAATTGAATACAGGGTCACCAGCCTGTACGTACGGAGGTCCTCGAGCAGACCTCCGTACGTACGGGTGTTCGGGGTCCCGTACGGGGTCCGAACCCGACGGCGTTTGACCCCCGCCACAAAATATCTCGGGGCCTATTTTTTTTTTGTTTTCTGAATTATTTTTTGTGAGTTCTCTATGACGTGAGGTACATGCCTTTAAATTTTTAAGTTGTTTGGATAAGCCAAATAGGAATTAAAAATCGCCAAAGATTGCGGTGTCAAAACGTGCTCGCCCACATTTTTTTTCACTTTTTACTTTTTGTTTTCACTTGAGTTCGAAGTCTAAACAATTTTATTATTTTTTGAAACTTTTTTGGTGGGTTTTGCATTATGTGAAGTATACATCTGTAAATTTTCAGGGT